CGCATCTGCTTCGGTTTGTCTCATAAAAAAAGCATCTGCTATGGAGTGTCTTTTAGATGTGTTTATCAAACACAGAGAGATTAAACTCAAATCACTCATAAAGAAGAATCAAGAAAAAAGCCTTGGACAGCGGACAATTCTGATTGATGAGGGAATGTGTCGACATGGTTCTTAATCTGTTCTTATCATCTAGCATATCGTCGTCTCACTCATCGCACCCTCTTCCATGCTCGATCATTAATTATCTGCATATATTACACCCAGTTATAGCGAAGTAAGTGATGTCCTGTTATCTTAACTGATTATTTACCCGCATTCATCATAAAATAAATACCATACGAAATAAGTGCACGTGCTTTCACACAAATCACGGGAGAGAAGAAGCATCATAACTCAAAACATTAGGATATTTCGGTTTACATCCGTTTCTTAGCGGATAAACATCTTTTTCTCGTAAGTCATTCATAATTTAATGTTATCAAAACGAGATCTGCCCAGAACTTATTACCTACCATTATAAATCATGCGATGCTCCTAACAGTTTCTACAAATAATGAGCATATTGCTTTTCGAATCATCGACGGGGGGTTATCTTGTGAACGTGATGATGATACTGTCGACCAAAGGGAATGGTGGTCCTGTCGTCGTTTGTCATCGGATAGACTGATAAAAATGACGATGACACCAATGATTATGACGATTTCAATGTGAAGAAGAAAGAAAGAGACGTACAACAACGCTCTTTCATGGTTTAAAATACTTAATTTAATTGACATGCTACAACATTGTACAGAAAGGATGAATAATTGATAAAAATTTTATCTTCATATACTGTGTCATGCTTTGCGATCTAATATGTCCTGCTTTTAAGAGGATGCTACATGAATTATTTATATTCCTTAAGTCTGTCATTACCCGAGCTCGTTTTATGCCTGATTTTTCTCTATTCTCTCCATACTACAATTTTATCGAAATCACTTAGTTCATTAGCAGTCTCTTTTTATTTCAATTTCGAGGCACTTGGTGCTAAGAATACCTAATGCATGAACACAGCACTGTCATTATAAAATAACATCACCGAATCACGACTTCAGTGGACATCCGCGGGCTTAATGCGGCTACTTTAATGCATTTTGACGCCTTTTATTGTTCTTAGACCCACTGACCACTATTTATTTTTGAAATATTTTTTTCCTGTTCAATAAATGGAATAGTCGTTACATTTGTCGATGTTGTCATTCCTTTAAAAAGTCGCAAAAGATCATTTTTCACTCTCGATTTTTACATAATACCGTACGCATTGACGTTTACACTCCGGTATTGACTTGATACTTAAAAATCATTAAATTTTTGAACTAATTACAGCTGGGATTTCTAATATACATCTAGACTGGCTCAAAAGAGGGCAAAATTCTATAATCTGTTGCATTATCATTTATTCAGGTGTGATTTATATACCAAACGGGAACATAAAATATGTGACATTCAAGTTGCTAATGTACCAATCTACAAATGAGTTTCTTGCAAAAATCATATGCCGTATTCTTGGAAGTCCTTTGAGAATTGAGGTAATTCTTTGTGTGTGTGTGTTGAGTATATACCTCTCTAGTAAATTATAGATATGTTGTCAAAAATAAGCAAATATGCATTTTCTGAGAAAATCTGAAATCTGAAAAATGTACTTAATTAACATCCCTCCTCTTTCCCTTCCCAAGGCCTTAACTCGACTTAGTTGTATTGTTAAACTGGAAACTGCCTTCCACAAATATATGACCTATCAGTTTATTATTATTATTATTATTATCACAACTATATTATTTTACTCAGCAATACTTGTAAATAACTCTGTTTAAAATGTAAAAGCAATCTCCTTCATAAAACATTTATGGAGTAGAACTTTCAATAATGTTACTTGTTAAATTAATATTTCTATGCATTTTTTCTTCTTTGCATGACAATTGTTATATTTAAGGAGAGGAACCATTAAGTTATAAGAACTTGATTCTGATTCATTTGCTTATGTCAATAAAATATGTTCAAAAACAGTATTTTCGTCGGATAAACAAAACTCGCAACGAGGGACGAACGTCATAATCCCTAATCATATGAAATTAGTGACAATTAGTGAAAAGTAATTAAGGAAACTGTCACAAAATATAACTTGAATAATTGCGCTTGAAAAAATAATATGCTTTCTAAACCATTCATTCATTTATTCTCTCAAAAACCATATGAATGGTACAAGAGGTACATATATACATATTTACAATAATTATGGACGAGCAGAGATTACAGGAGGACAGACAGTGTCAAAAATTTTGATGATAAATATACACAATTTTCTTAAGAATGCTGGGTCAGTATTTGTCATTAAATTACAGAATTTTATAATATTTGGATGTACATAGTATTTCTTTAACAGAAAATCTTTTCGAATATTACAAAATACATTACATTCCAGTAAGTAATGAAATTCGTCTCCAATTTGATTATTATTACATAAATAGCACACTCTTTCATTTCTTTCAACATTATTCCATCTACCCACCTCTATGGGAAGACGATGGTTACTTGTTCTGAATTTTGAAAAGATATTTCTAAATTTTCTTGGTATAATAGTTAAGTATTTTTCACATTCAAACTTTGTTTTAAAAATTCTATATGTAATACCTTTACTGGAATTATTCATATCACTATACCATTTTTGTAAAAACTGGTCTTTAAGCTTTTGGTTTATTGCAGTCGCAATCCATTTAACACTATGAAAATTTTGATCATTCCAAACCTTACATAGTCCTGCAGTGTTAAGAATATTCTGTATGCAAGATATCCATGGATTATTGATTCCATTTTTGGTATATTTATTATAAAGGTGTAAATAAATAATTCTACAAATCTTATTCTCATTTCCATGTAACAGTTTCCCCCAGAAAGATATCATTCTTGTATAAATGCGTACGTACATCGGGTAACGTCCAGTCTCCCCGTATACCATAAAACTCGGTGTACTAGATTTTAGGTTTAAAATATATTTCAAAAATCTTAAATGTAAACGTTCAATAATATCAATATTTTCAAATCCCCATATTTCGCACCCATATAACAAAACAGGAACAACAACTTTATCAAATAGATCTAGCTGACAATCAAAAGGTAGATTATATAAACGAATTTTTCTTATAATTCCGTACATTGCCTTTTGTGCTTGATTACATAAGTGTTTCTTAGCCTTTGAAAATGACCCTGATCTTGAGAATAAAATACCTAAGTAATTGAAATCTTTTACAGTTTCTAAAACATCGTTGTTGTATTTAAATGTATGTTTGGGTGATGGTCCTTTTGAAAAAATGACAATTTTTGTTTTATTGACATTAACATGGAGTTTCCATGTTTTACAATATGCAGAAAAACCATGAATGCAATATTTAGAGATCTTAGTATAGCACAAACATCTGACGTAAAATGGAGCCCGATTCAATTACCTTTAGCCTGAAACATGTACACTAGGTACACGTATTTAATAAAATTTACATTATTTAACTACACACAGTGCATTGCGATATAACAATATATAGAGGGTATTCAATGTTTTGTAGATGAATATGGAATTTATTTCACGAGTGGGACAGGAATTTTTTTGATATTTTCATGAGTGCGAAGCACGAGTGAAAATATCAAAAAATCCTGTCTCACGAGTGAAATAAATTCCATATTCATCTACAAAACATTGAATTTTCTGTTTATTACATTTTCTTTGATTTTCCCTTTGCCTCTGTCTTTTCTTAACACAGTGTCCTAAGCTTGACGTCATAGTTGAGCGGTTGAGACGTCATTACTTAGCAGTTGTGTGATTGAAAACATTACATAGCATGGATTTTAGCAACGTATTTGGGAAGAAATTTGCAGTTTTAGCTCTATCAAGATGCTTAGTTACTATCTCTATCTTATGACAGACCAGAAATTATTTTTTACTTACTTTGATATCCTTTCACACTGTGAGAGAATATCACTTTTATTCAATAAATAAATCACAGTATTTCACTGTTGAAAATGTAATAAAGGCGATTATTGAACATTGTATACCTCGGCTTCATAATTCCCTGCAGAGCATACAATATTATAGGCCAGTGTGACTTAAGAAAGACAACTCAATACTTTTGCAAACTAACGATACTTTAAAGAAAAAGGATAGATTCACATTAAGTGAGTTGATTGCCATTTACAAAATCGATTTAATTTTTTTTTAAATATATTTTTGGTACCACTTTCACCTGATATTTCAGAATATAAGAGAAATTCATTGGAATCGAGGAAGGAACACGCAGCTTTATATTTATAAAAGGGAAATGAATGAAAAAATACAGATCAAAGGTGTAAAACTTTAATGACTAGGATCACAACCTTGGTTTCAACCTTCAAACATTGATCCGAGGCATGGGCTAAGAGAAAGTACATGTAAGTTGCACATATACTTGGTTTGCTTGAGATGGACTCACATTAATCTGTTAAATTAAACATGTTGTAAGACAGGTCAAAATTCGATTTTAAAAGCTAACATCACAAGCAAGTACATTTGAAAAGCAAAGTTATGCCAATTTATACCGGAAAAAAAGTTGAAATACATGGATCATGAAACAGACTTGGACGAAAGTCAAATTTTCACATTTTCTGTAAGAAGTTTACAAATTATCAACTAAACGGATTTGGCCTTAACAAAAAATAAATAAAAGATTTTACTATGGTAAATCAAAAGTTTTAACCCTAATAAATCAAGGTATTTTTATATTCATATATTATTATTTCTAAAATTTTACATCATTGGTGTGAAATTAAAGTGATATTGAGTTCCCAAATCTAAAAAAAGGTAATTATTTTAGTTAACTACAGTAAAGAATAGTTAAATATATTTTTTTTTGTTAGGGGCATTACTATGTCCTCGATATTGTGTTTTTAAAATAGACCATTTTTTTTAAAACAAAAGAACATAAAAATGTAGATCCGTCAATATCACGTCACAATAACAATGGCTTAATAATAGTTATGACGTCACAATAATCTATCCCAAAAACTTCGTTGTTAGGTACAACTTATACATACTCTGAAAAACACCATGGGTATCTTTCAGAGTTGCCTTGGCAAACACAACAGGGTAGGAGTGATGGGAAAGGAAGAAATGGAGGCGTATGAAAAGGTACGTCGGACAATGATCACAGAAGATATGACAGAGAGGAAGGGCGGAGTGGCCTTCGATCTTACTTTCCTCACTGAGGATTCAGCACTAAAGCTGCCACCCAGACCCCCTAGTCGATTGACCACTGACAAAAAGGAGGATTTTGAAAAATGGAGAGGTAAATTAAATAACTGAACAGGCTTAATAAATTATTATGCTATATTGTCAAAATACAGGTTTTATAAGTTAGATTTTGTCATTAAACTGTGTGTTTTTTTAATAATTCAAATTAGAAAACCAAGAGAAGACACAGGCAGAAAAGCAAGAGAGGGCCCAGCAAAAAAGGGAAGAGGCCATCGTGCAGAAAAAAATTGAAAACGCCCACAAGGAAATGGAGCGGCTTGAAAAATATGTCAACATCAGTGATTAACTTTGAATATGGACTGGCATAAAATTTACCCAAAGCATTTTTATTTCTAAATTACAAATCTTTTGGAGCCAAGGAGGGGACACCCGAGCTCTTTTATCCCGCTGCTATCTTTGGCTGTTAATTTTACGTTGTTCTCTTTTAGACCTAACCCTTTGGAATTTTCCAGAATGTTGGCCTCACAAACAGACGAGGCTTGCATTGCTGACAAAATTTGACTATTCTAAATTCATCTTTGGCTTTCTTTTTCTGGTAATGAAGCGAGCGAGATAGATCGCATTGCCGAATCACCAGAGCAAAATTACTTCCAACTATTTCGAACCTTTTGGCCTCTCAGGGAACTTCCTGTTTTTCGGGGGTTCCCTGTCAAAACTTGTGAAATTGTAAATGATATATCCATTTTGAGATGTTTTAAAGCTCCGTTGTCCTCTCTTTTCAAAATTTCTTCTTGGCGCTGATAACTGAACTTCTTAATAAATATCTTTTGCCTTTGATTGAGTCGTTTTTCTTCATGTTAAAAGCATTGAAGGGTCATTATGATCCCACATTTTTATAAACAAAATGAATCACTGGATTTATACTTTAAAGCATGATTTTGTATTTCAATTGGTGCTGCATAGAGATATAATAATATGTACTGTGAAAATATTTTAGCTTTTTATAATTGAATACAATCTTATTTATACATCGTCATAACTTTCCTATCAGACACCTTCGGATTAACAAGAGTTCTAATTGCGGAGATTGGGCGCCGCTAAAAATTAGTGTGCAACTGAGACCCCCCCCCCCCCCAAAAAAAAAAAGCGTGAATCATTAAGCTACCTAGAACACAGGATTATTTAAAATCACTTTATCAAGACAACTTTTAAAATTATTTTTTTTAACATATAATTTACTAAATAATTGAAATGATCAGAAAATCGGAAAAAGAAAGAATATACATAAAATTTTGTGAAGGAAAACATTAACAAGAATTCTAACAACTAAAATGCAACTCCATAAATCAGACTAAAAGTATATTTAAAAGTCTACATAATCTTTGAATATGTGATGGAAACAAAACAAATTCATTTGTCAAATATAAGAATGTGATATATTTTTTTCTGTTTTCAGTGTTCGCACTAGAGAGCCAGAACAAATGTACATGCCATAGAATTTTACGAACGGTTAATGACATTTTCTTATCGGGATCGATTCAAATGCTGCCTTGATTTGTAGATATGCTCTTTGCGAGGGGATGCTCCGCTTTGCGGTGCTGTTGTTTTTAACTAAATTTTGTTTTATTGTTTGATTTTTTTATTGGATTCCGAAACTTCATAAAAATCCTTACAAACAAAGATACATAACGGGTTCCAGTAAATGTTCAACCAAGCCTCTTTCTTTACTCCTCACTAAGATATTAACAGCGGTGAAGGAGAAACTTCAAGAGTACTGTGCAACAATATATTCGAGAAGTGGTGTAAATCAGATGTGGATACTTCAAAATTCCAAGGAACTTTTGGAAAATTTGAAATCACAAGATTTTACCAAAGTCAACAGCTTAAAAACTTACGACATTTCAACTTTATACACAACCATTCCCCACGATAAATTAAAGTCCAGGTTTTTTGATATCATTGACAGCTGCTTTTTCAATAAAAATGGAACTCGTAAATATACTTACCTTGTCATTGGTCATTTGCAAAATTATTTTGTTAAAAAACATTCTGATTGTACACACAAGTACTCTGAAGTTGGCATTAAAAAGATGCTCAAGTTTCTGATTGACAATATCTATGTGGTTTTTGGAGACCAGGTTTTCCAACAATCTATTGGAATTCCCATGGGTACCAATTGCGCTCCGTTATTAGTAGACCTTTTTTTGTATTCATATGAAGCAGAATTTGTCCAAAACCTTGTACGTGAAAAGAAGAAAATACTTGCTGTGGCCTTCAACTCGACATTTAGATATATCGACGACGTATTGTCAATTAACAATGGCTATTTCCATTCTTATGTCGATACGATATATCCTGGTGAGCTTGAGATAAAAGATACCACAGAGTCTGACACATCTGTTTCATATTTGGATATATTACTTGAAAAAGACGTTAATGGTAATCTAACAACCAAGCTTTATGATAAACGTGATGACTTTAACTTTTCAATCGTCAATGCAACTTCCCTTACTTATGCAGCAATGTACCTTCATCACCTGCATACGGGGTATATATCTCTCAGTTGATTCGATACGCAAGAACATGCAATACGTATGTACAATTTCTAAAACGAGGTAAATTATTGACAAACAAGTTGATGAAACAAGAATATCAGCTGTCTCGTTTAAAGTCATCATTTCGTAAGTTCTATGGTCGATACAATGATCTTGTCAGCAAATACAGTTTATCATTGAGTCAAATGCTGACTGACGTTTTTCATACTAATTGTTAGGCCATTATTTACACACTGAATTGTCGACGGATTTTTCCGTTATTTCCCGATCATGACAAGGGGCACACGGCGGGTGTGACCGGTCGGCAGGGGATGCTCACTCCTCCATGGCACCTGATCCCACCTCTGATGTTTGAAGGTCCGTGTTTGCTCTGCTTCTATTTTGTATTGTTTAATGGACTTTTGAGCTTGAATACTGTTCGTTATCTCCATATATTTCACACAAGAGATTACTAATTTCTTCTTTTCCTTTATGCAAAATAGAAAAGAACTTATGATGAAATAAAAATCACGCTTATAATCCTTCGGCCTCAAGTGAAGATTGAAATTTCAAAATAAATTTCTCAGCAACACCTTAAATACTTTACAAAAAGTACAAAATTTTCGACTGTTAATTTTTGTAAAGAACACTTGCAAAATATGCCAGTTATATTTAATCGAACATGATCAAATATTGACCTGAAATTCCAAGTCGATAATTTTGTTCCTTCCCCCTTGCCATTCAATCTCTCAGGTAGGTATTAAGCTTTATTTCAGGTTTGTTTGTTTCGCCCTTCTCTCATATTAGCTGCAGAACTGTAGTTCTCTGGTTGAAAAATTTTTGACAGATAAATGTTCTGCAGCTTTTCTAAAATAAAATAATTTTAATCTAATTTTATTTTTTGCATTTAATATTTTGAAGGAAGAATGACACTTTTTTTTTATGAATTCAAATGGGATGAGATTCCTAATAAATTCTAAACACAATGCATACATAATTAAAAAAAAAAACAACAACAAAACTCTGGATCATCTTTTTTTCTGTTTATAAAAGAATACTGGCATTCATAATAACAAATCAAAAAAAATACAATATATGAAAAAAAACATACAAAAATTTCTATTAGTCAGAGTATACATGTATGTAACCTATCAGTGAATGGCAAGTTAATTTGATCATCCAGCAGCATCACTGTCGCACTATTTATGATGATTTCTTGGCAGTTCTGTTGTCTCTTTGTCTTAGCGTATATGCTCTATAGTAAAAGTTTCCGAATAGGATTATTAGAGAAATTGCGTAAAGAAAAACAGCAATGTTAAAACTCTGCGGAAAGTCACAGTCTATTATCAGGTTGTATCCAGTGTGGATAACAAACGCACAAAACTGAATCTGAAAAAGAAATAACATTGGTCAGAAATAATGCATTGAATAAATGACAAAGAAAAATCATACAATTTACAACATTGGGGACAGATCATATGCTGAGGCCTTGGGGTAGGGGGCGGAGTAGGGATTTTTGCATTCAGAATTATACACTGAAACACAAGTGTTCTATTTCACGAGATTTTTCAAAGATTTCCCTTACATATCCATGGATAAGTTGAACCCACAGAGAGAAGTGTGGGGACGACAGTGGGCATATTTGAACAAATTTTAATATGCACCACATTGCTATGAGTGCATATCGATTTTTCTACCATGACCCTGTTGTTCTTTATTTTGATTTAAGTTTTAAAACTTTTTCCCTATATAACTTTGTAAAAATCTTTACCCCTATCCTAAGCATAATGACCATAATAGTCTAAAAATGACAAAATTTTACAAATCGCGTTTAATGTATTATCTATTTGCAATTTCCATTCAAACAAAGTAATTTTATTTAATTGTATGTGCAGGAACCAACCTGGGATAAAAAAGTTGAGATGCAATCTGAATACAGACGTAAGTGCGAAAAATTCTATGCTACTGATCAATATGCTGTACTCCAAATTTTCGCCCAGGATTTGTCGTAAGAGCTTGCTGCGCTCGTTAATATTTATTGACTAGCTCCCCTTGAAAAGGGGCATAACTCTTAATTTATTCCAACATTCGGCTCGTTCATTTAGACGATTGTTTTTATAGAGTCGAAGCGTCTTGATGATCAAGACTATTCCAACATCTTCACTTCTGTCGATTTTGTTCACTACTTACCAGTTGGAGTCTCGTTAGATATCTCTTCCACCAGAGGTATTTCTGAACATTTGGTCCCAGTAGCGAGAGGGCGTAGTACGAATACATGAATATATGGACGAATGAATTCAACATACCCGTAAAGAATGCTGGAAAAAAATATTTCAAAAAATGAAATAAGTCCAAAACATTAATCTATAGTTTCTCAGGTGCAGCTGTATTTTGCCAAACACATATTGAAAAGGGAAATAACTCATGATCATTTTCTATTTCTTTAAGTTGAAAAAAAAATAGTTATTCCCCTTTTAATATACGCTAACAGAAAGACGTTTTTATTAGATAAAATTTATGAATTAAATTTTCAAAAATATTCAGAATAACATTTTTCAAAGTAAAGTACCTATTATAATTAATCTAAGGGTACAAAAAAGTAAGAATCAGTTGAAATCATCATTTTGTTGACTGACGCATGGCCGAAGTAACCGGGGGGTGGGGGGGATACGAGGGCCATGCCCCCAATGATTTTGCCTTTATATAGATTACTATAGAAAACATAGCTACGATATGTTTGTGCCCCTTCAATAAAAAGTCTTATGACACCCCCCTTTTTTGTATGTCAAGTTGATAGTCCCCCCTCCCAACTGAAAATGTATGGATCCCCCCCCCCCCCCCCAACTGAAATTGCTTCCTACGGGCCTGCTGGCGTAAAAAAGACATGTCTGTCGCATTGAATTCTGAAATATGTTACTGAAGTAGAGTAAGCAGAAATATTATTTGACATTCTCTATCTTACTAAATAGGGTTGACATAAAGAAAAAACAAAATGATACAATTTCACTCACAGATCAGATTAGAAATAATTAAATTTGCTTCTTCACAGCTTCATTATCCAGTCATAATTCACCAAAGACACCTTACTTTTCTAATTCAATAATAATGGATTAAGTTTAGGTGTAAGTTTGTCCATAAACGTAAAAGCAAGTCAAATACAATACTGTGACTAAAAGATAACATATGAGACTTACATTGACCTCCGGCGACATATTTTACACCAAACCACCAGTTAAATATCATACTGCTGTGATGATATACGTGCAAAAAGGTCACCTGATCAAACTTTTTGCGCATTATGAAAAACACCTGTAAACGAATTTGAAATTTTATATGTTATATTGTCACTTAAAAAAGAAAAACACCTGTAAACGAATTTGAAATTTTATATGTTATATTGTCACTTAAAAAAGAAACTGCACCAAGTTTTGAATTTGTCTTTTTGCTATTAATGTTATATTTTTTCTAATGGGGATACTGCACAGAAAATAATAATAATGCAAACATTTTAAAAAAGAAACAAATATATTATTACATACCGTATCAAGTAATTCAATCACTTTTGAAAAGAAAAACCACCAGCATACATTGGCCATCTACAGTGTACAGGAATGTTTATGATTATTTTACGTACAGTAAAAAAAAAAGTAGATTTTTACTTCAGGGCAACTTATTTTTTCATAGGTTTGTGCTAGCATCCAGAAAGCTGTTGTTTAAAAGCAACTAAACAAGCATAAGGCTCAAGGACCATAATGCTCACCTGAGTAATCTAACTTTTCTGACAAATAAATATGTACATAAATGAAACCTAGTAATATAATGTGACCGTCTATTTGATATAATTCGAATATTTTTTAATGTTAATTAAAGTTTTAATGAGGCTTAAAGTAAATCTAACAAATGGCATGACTTTTTATCCTTCAGAAATTTATTTATTTACCCTAGGAAACGTAACTTGAAGATGCTTGAAGTATACAAGTATACATATACGCGGTGTCACATTGGAATGCATGTATATCAATTAAGTTGTTTCTTGTCATCCTGTTATAGAAATGTTTCAATAAAGATGATTTTTAAATGATGACCAGACCCTAATGTTCATTATTAAAAGATAACAAACAGTCAGATGGACAGACTAAGGACAAACTTTGAAAAGAACCTTTTTTTTCTGAGGTAAGCTAATAGTAAATGTGTATCATTTTTAATGAATCATAATTTCCACGTATCAAAACAAATGTCAGATACAATATTTGTAAAAGCCTTGCCATAAAAATATAAAATTGTACTATAGACCTAGTAGTGAAAAACTGAGTATCAGATAGAAACCGTTAATTTTATTTGTGGCAATAACCTTTTTAATATTTTATAAAATTATAACCATCTCTATATGTGTACATACTCTCATAGCTAGAGGACTCTCCGAGTAGTCGACAGGCTGACATAAATAACTGTAGTTAGACCTTATAGAGGTGATCAGAAACTGAAATATGTTAAAATAAAATGATTTAATTCAAAATTGTCTTCATTAAGTTGTATACATATCAATTATAAAAACCAATTTACTTAAACAGAAATGACAAAGTTAGCCTCTCTAAAAATCGGTCAATATTGTATATGAATTACCTATCACTTATTTTTCCTTTTTGAAACAGTTATAATACTCAGAACTGCTTTTTAATACGAAACAGAACGTTGTATTTACTATTAATATAGAATTTTAAAAGTAACCCGTACCTCCTTAAACATGTAGACTGAAAGAACAACTAAAGCTACATTATAAGGAAACAAGAGGTATTTGATGTTGAAAGGTTTTCTGCCCGCCATGATACGAGGACCAGCTACAACAATTGCAATATATGCCACAAAAAACATGGTCACTGGAATCGGAGTCGCCATTAGTAACCAGTTTTCAACTCTCTTATCTGTGAAATACATGTTAAACAAATCAAGACATACGTAAAGTTTTGGAGGTGAATTAGATTGAAAACGTACTATACGAATAAAGTTTAAATTACTGCATTATCCACAAAATATTTAGTAAATAATAACTATTAAAAAATTTAGAAATTATACTCTACTATAATATCAACAAAATATTCATCGAATAGTTTTAATTTTAAAATTATATTTATATGTTTACTTCTAAAAATCTACCGGCAACAAAATATTTAGGGAATAAGGGTTGTTTTTTTCTTCTTCATTAGCAAATAGAGTTTTTATTTCATTTTGTTAAAACTAAATAAATGATTAAAATTTTGTGCTTACCTCCCCTTGACAAGGTGTCATAGTAGAACTCTTTTGCAGAATCAAAACCCCCCATTTCTACCTGTAAAATTCTTTTAAAAAAACATCATACATTAAACAAAAAAGAACTGTAGTTTGTCAAAGTTTTACTGATAATTAAAATGGCACGAGATTTATTCAAAAATGTGTTTCCGTACTTACTGCACTGTGGCCAAAGACATTTTTGTTTCGTTGAAACAAGAAGCTTAAACATTGTTTTTTTTTTTTAAATAGACTTAAAAGATTCCATTTTTTTTAAAAACAATATGCATTATCATATATTAGAAATTCCGTAGAATAAATCACTACTGAATTGACAACTATGAACAGATGAATACTTTGCGGTAGGCTATATTAGTAGGTACGAACACTCGGATATTTGAGTCACAATCTCAAAAATGCATGATTGTACGACTGATAGCATGTTTTCACTATTAGTATTGTTATTCTGTAACAAAGTATAGTAAGAATAAAGTTTACCTGTAATCACAGTTCTATACGACCTTTAACCGAA